TATATGCCGACCTTTATGTAGGCCATCCTCCCTCCAGCCGACCATTGAGCACACACAAAAATGCGCACATGCACACACTCACGCAAACACACGCGCACACACAGAGGGGGGAAGATTGGCACCGTCTAATTCCATCCAAATCTCTCGCTGCGGTACCACTCAGTAATTTCTCCCTCATTTCCATCTTGGGTCAAACCGAGGAGATAGATTCTCACTGCGAAACCTCGAACTTCCTCTTTCAAGTTTTCGCTTGTCAGGCCAACTACTCATTTAACATCACTGAAATATTAAAGCTGCAGCCCTTCCACACACACTGTAAATTCCATCGCTTGGCATGAGACATGATCGCTACTGAATGGGAGAGAAAAAAAAAAAAAGGTAACCGAAGGGAAATGAAGAAGAGAGTCAGCAAAGAGGGAGTTGGGATGGACGTTAAAAGTGAAAGGGTGAATTGAGACAAGCGAAGAGCATACGGTTACGCACCCCCTCCCCTCATTAAGTCAGTCAGTGTGACAGGAGGACTTACATAACACCCCAGAGATGGAGGGAGGAGATGAAGAAAGAGCACCGAGGAGGAGGATGAAAGAGGTAGCAGCTGCGGAGCAGGCAAGACATGATAGGGTGATGAAGACTCGAGCGTGCACTCTTCGAAAAGCAACCTTTGTGGGGAGACTCAAACAATCAAACATGAGCTGGAGTATTTTAATGAAGGGGAACGGGATGCGGGGGGTCAAATAAAAATGCATTTGAAAGATCCGCCGCTCCTTTCGGTGTGCCTCGACTGGCTTTGCACTTTTCATTTGTTTTGTGGAGGAGAGATTAGCAAGAGGATTAAGAGGGCGACTCTACCGCTCCTCATCCTTTCTCTTCTCTCTCGTTTGCTACCTCTCAGATGGGAGCAAGCACATTTGCTCACTCGCTCGTGCATCCCGGGAAATTAATGCACAGTTTGTGCGCAGGGTGCTTGGGGCTGCAGCTCGCTTATCGTTTTGTTTTTTTTTTTCTCCCCCTACTCAATCTGTTGTATCGTTTCGGATGAGTCTGTAAATGTTGAATTAGAGATGCATTCGGCAGTTTCCTTAAGCTCAGCGTGATGTCTTAATGGCGCTTGGAGAATGACAGATAAATCATTAAGAATGATATCATACTGAAAAGAAGCATCTTTGTTACTTTTGTATTCCACCTATGTCACTATTCTCCATAAGTAACATGAGCAAGTTTTCCATTAGTTACAGTGCATTATTTTGAATGGAATCCTTTATTACAACCTCCAAATGCGCATGGGTTTTCAAATGAAAAAAAAAGTGCATTTTCAGCAGCGCTACAATCTGCAAGCGGAATAATATACCAGTCGCTAAATTAGTTCTGCTCCAACATTTTCAACAAAAAATAGTGCCGTGCTGTCTTTGTCAAGAAAAGTTGTAATGGAAGTGTTTCCCCCGACCCAGAATGCAAATGGCTGCATCCTGTATCATCCAAAGAAAGTAACCTTCAATCTAACATACAAACAGAAAAAAAATTAATAAAAGGGTCTAATTTCCCAAGATCCCCAACCCGACGAAGATTGCAATTGTTGGCAACAGTTGTAGAAGTGGTGGCGACTGTGTATTTGTTTTGCCCTTTGGGCAGCTCTGATGGTTTTCACCATGGAGCATTTGGGAGAGCGCCGCAAGCGTAAAATGAAGTTTGAAGTGATGAAATGGGAAGTGTTAGTGAAAGACGCAAACAAAAATATTACAACGTTACAGAAAATAATTCAATCACTCTTGTTCGTTTTGGGAAAGCCGTCAACCGCATAACAACCTTGTTTTGTTTAATTGAACTCACCCAAAGTGAGTGGCCGCTGGCTTTCTGTGCCTGTCCTGGAGACACTGCTTTTAAAACGCACCTCAAAATCTGAGCAGGGAGAGGCCCGCACCACTTTGTCAACTGCGCAGAAATGGCGCACGGAAAAGCAGTTAAAAGGAGTTTTGTCATCCGTGATATGGCATGATTTTTTTTTTCTGGTGAATTGCCAAGTCAGCCCTGAGATCAGTTATGGGCAATTGATTAATTTTCCTAAAAAAATTTGAGGGAGGGTAATATTTTATATATATATACCCATATTAACAAACCAACTCTGATAAACCATCAATATACGTTTTTCATGGGAAAACGGGAAAAATCCAAGTAATGAAAAAAATATTGCCGTAAAATAGAAATAAAATGGGCAAATATGCAAATGCGCAGGTACCGATCAGCCAATATGTGTCAGCTGTAGTTTTACGTTAAATTCACCACTAGATTGCAGACATGACTTACTGTAGTTGCAAGTTTTAACGGGTTTTATACTGCCCTATACTACAATACAAGTAGGCCCAATATTTTTTGTGTGCTTCGGAATGATATGTAGTACAAACTAGTACCTCAAAAATATTATCATTTTGTGGGAGATGATTTTTGTGAAGAAAAAAAAATGAACAAAATGAGTTGTTGCACTTCATGTAGGTTTGTTGTTCAGCAGTTTTGTGCCCTTGGAGAATGGTCATTTTTATGCATGAGAGCCCTTTGCACTGGAAAAAAATATTACAGTATGTGATTATTTTGTGGGCGGCATGGTGATTGACTGGTTCGCACGTCGACCTCACAGTGCAGAATTGCAGGGTTCGATTCCGGCACTGGCCTTCTTGCGTGGAGTTTGTATGTTCTCCCCGTGTCTGCGTGGGTTTTCTCCTGTTTCCTCCCACATTCCAAAAAACATGCTTGACAGGTTAATTGAACACTCGAAAATGTCCCTAGATGTTGAGTATTAGCATGAATGAGATTAAGCGTATTATTTTTATATTGGGTTAAGATAGTAGCTCTATTATACTTGGATTGAAAAATATATGATCAAAAATGAATGACAGTAATCCCTCGTTTATCGCAGTTAATGGGGACCAAAACCACCCGCGATAAACGAAAATCCGCGAAGTAGCATCCAATTAACATAAACAGGTAAAAATTTTTTTTTTTTTTTAAGTCCGCTATTATGCGGCGAAACAGCAGGCCAGGGGAAAAAAGAATAAAAAGGCGATTCAGCCAGGATTCAGGAAGGAGATTTTCCAGTTTTCTTTATTTTCAGGAGTGACAGTTGACCAGTTTTGAGCAGCCCACGTGTAGCCCGCGAGAAGCTGCAAAACAGCAGCGAGTCACATAGAGCAACATATACAGTACTGTACTCCATGTATATTTAAAAAATATATATATATATATTTTTTTATATGTTTGAAAAAATCCGCGATGCACTGAACCCGCGTTAAAAGAACCGCAAAGTAGCGAGGGATCACTGTATATTGAGAGCATGTATTTTGCATGTTTTTTGGGGGGTGTTTTTGGTCCAGTTTAAAATGGCATTTTTGTCATTCATCTGGTTTGAAAGTGTAGCACTGATGAAAAATTGTGGCCCTCTCCAGCATTGAAGTTGCCCATCTCAGCCTTCGATCATTCAGAAGCTTCAAAATTGCATGGCTGAAAAGAGTAAATGTCATAATATTTTTTGTTTGTGACATCTTCCTCCTCACCTCCTCTCATCTTGCTTGTGTTTCACTGGCACCACTTTGTGTGCCGGTTTGCACGCAAAGACCCAAAATCAGCCAGCGCAAGCCATTATAAAGTTTGACGAATCAAAGTCAGTGTGCTAATCCCATCATTTCATTTGGACAAAATGAACCGTGCAGCAATGTTGCGTGTTTGGTAGAGCATCGTCGTTGCGCCCGGTTAGTCGATCACCTTCCACATCTGATTACATAAGCAATTAAGTTTGCAGAATTTTGGAACATGCAAATCCATAGTAAATCAAGCCCATAGTCTTCCATGAATATTTCATTTTTTGGAGAGTAATCGGAGAGAAAATTTGAGCCTGTGCAGACTCAAAAGTCAAAAGCGGTCCCGTTTTTATCCTTGCTGTGCTATTCTATTTGTAAACTGCAACCGGATGCAAGTTCAATAGTTGAATTGGAAGCAAGTGACTGGGCTTTCGCCATTTGTCTCTCCCTCCTCTGGCTTCCAACTTGTAGTAGCCAGACGCTTTCCGCCTTGATTCGCCTCTCCATCTGTCTCGCTCATCTTTCTCTTTATCTCAGCCATTCTCCTGTTCTGTGCTCCCCACGCTTCCAACACTCTCTGCGAAGCTTAGCCACTCTGCCTCCTTCCTTTTAAACAGCAAAAAGCAATTCCTCTCCCTTTGTCAGGGCAGTTGGCACTAAGCCCTTAAGTAGGGATTTTCTGGTTTGGCGGGAATGCCATTAGGCAAGCGGCCGATGACGTGCCGTGACTGACGTGCCGAATCTTTTTGATGTCGTGATGTCACAATCCCGCCAAGGCAGCGGTGATGATATTGTTGGCGTCCCTAGAATGAGGGGGCTTTAGTGGTCATGTCAGAAGTAAGTCTTCATAAATCCTTTATGGCACAGAAATATTAAGCTTCTTTGGCGGTGCAGGGGCAGCAAGAGGAACATGGTAGAACGCGGTGGAATGTGAACACATACACAAAAAAAAGAAAAAGAAAAAATAAGACACTTGTAGACACAAAGCCACCCACACGTACTCTACGCAGACAACTTTCTTCAGCAGCCACAGGCATGCTAGAGCAATCAGTTTACACTCCGAAGACAACTTCTTTCCAACTTCTTTCATTTTCAAGACTCATGGGATCTATTAAATCCGAAGGAGTGGAAGGGACTGAATCTTTACCGTACATGCTCTGATTCAAATGGCCTTCAACTCTCTTTTTATTAGCGCAGTCGTTCAAATGTAAGTGCTGCAGATGTGCAAATGAAAGATTATGGCAGTACATCACGAGCATGTCAGTGTATTTGGTGCCTGAGTGCATTTTAAAAATACAATAATCCACTGAAGGATGCATGTTTAAATACGCAATAGCGGTGTTGTAATGCATACCCCCACACACACACACACACACACACACACACACACACACACACACTAGTCTTGACTTTTTAATGTTTCTTTTCACACAGCTCCTCCACGGTTTACCCGAACCCCGGAAGACCAGATAGGAGTCCAAGGCGGCGTGGCGTCGTTCGTGTGCCAGGCCGCTGGCGAGCCGCAGCCCAAGATTGTGTGGAACAAGAAAGGCAAAAAAGTCAGCAACCAGAGATTTGAGGTATGACCCCACTTTCCTAATTATTGACTGTTAGCTTATGTCTCTCATATTGCATCCAATGAGAACAATGTTTCCCAAAATGTTGCAGGTTTTTTTTCCCCCATGGGAAACATGGGGAACTGTGATTTCAGTTGGTTTGTAAAAATAAAATAAAAATAAATTAAATGGTGGTGGATGATAAATCATTTTTGTATTGACTCAAACAGAACCCGCACTGGTCAATTCTTGAAGACATTTACCTCATTCACAGAAATCTACAAAGCCATGATCCACCGACAAGCCTCATAAATATAAATGCATTAAACTAAATACCATTGTGTTTGGCAGCGAGCCATACAATTAAATTAACCCTTACCCTACAGTAGACAAGAATTGTAATATGTTATTAGTTTAGCATGACAGTTGGAAGAATTGTGTATGTGAGAGGGGCAAGGTTGTCCCAGACAAATGCATGATTGGAGGTTGAAGGCAGTCTCCAACTGCCCAGCTTCGAGCAGCCAACTCCAATATCATCTGCAAGTGGAGATCTTGCAGTTCCTGAAAAACTTTCTTTGGCCGTGCCAGTCTCCTTTAAGGACTTCATCAAGTCTGTTCTACTTCCGCCTTGTAGACCACGCACCTCACCTGTCCTGAGTTTAAAGACATCGAGAGGAGCCGTACCAACAGTATGTCTTCTTGTTTTCTTATACACAGGTAATTGAATTTGACGACGGGTCTGGCTCTGTCCTGAGAATCCAGCCTCTGAGGACCCCCAGAGATGAGGCTATTTATGAATGCCACGCCTCCAACTCGGCAGGAGAGCTCACGGCCTCCACCAGACTAAGTGTGCTACGAGGTCAGTGTCGTCACATGCACAAACAGCTGGATTTGCATCCATTCGGCAAGCAGTTTTCCAAATCCAAAGGCTTGGATAGGAGTCAAAAAGCTCACGTGAAAAACAGAACTTCTCATTTTATTTCCTATTTGAACTTTTATCTCAGTATCTGTATTAGTAATACTATAAATATAATTTTCTTAGTTCTTAGAATGTGATAGGGTTTTTTTAACCACAAAAAAAAAAAAAAGAGTACAAGAGTTCCGTTTTGCATGTTCCATAACACAAGATTACAGTTGTATGGAACCGGAGCCTATCTCAGCTGCCAATGGGCAAATGGTAGATTACACCTGCACTGTCCGGGTCCGAGCGAACCACTCCGCCATCAATGACCCAATACAAGAGGTGCACTCTAAATGCTGCCATGACAAAGATAATAATGCAGTTTTGATTTGCTTGTTTGCTTGCACTCAGCCGAATGTAAGATTTCACATACTGTACATACTCTCCATGTATTTCCTATCCCACTTATTTCATGAACATAGTTCATAGTTTCACGTAGGTTTTGCTCATTCATGAAAATGTATTTGGTTTTTTTCCATCATCAACAAAAAAATACCTCAGGATTTATAATTTCTTTTAACGCATCATCCATCCATTGACTGGTCCTCACTCAGAATTCGGAGTATCGCGAGGTGTATTTTTCATTTCCATTCTCGTACTCGTAGATTGTAAATTAATGCTGACAATGCTGAAAGCTCGGAAGAAGGGTCTCTTTAGAAGTCAATAAGTGTAAAGGCTGTGTCCGCTGCACTACGTGCTTTTGTTAGTGTTAGCAGCAGTCCATTAATGCAGATGGTGATGTTAGTGTTAGTGGAGTCCATTAGGAGAACATTATGCACCGGTAGTTGGAAGCTCAAGAGTGTCTTAGCGAGCGAAGCCGCTCAAGTGTGGATAATCACACCGGCTGCCTTTATAGTCCACGCTTGTCGGAAGGGGAGAAAGGAGGAGCGGCCTATTGTTTCTATCCTCTCATCTCTCTCTTGTCTTTCTAAAGTACTATACACAGAGTCTCCATGTTGCTGTTGCTGTTGTTGTTTTTCTTTATCTGGACTGCTCTTACCTTACTCCTTCTCACTTTCATCTCTCACTCCGCATGCTCTTCCGCACAACGTCTAAATTATTCACGTCAGATGGCTCTTTGCATCCTCTGTGCTGTTCACTATCATCGCATGCTGCGTGCGTACGTCGGATCACTGGTGCATGCACATCTGTATGCGCTCCCTCGATGGGAACCTTTTCTCCAATCTTCATCCAGAGCATGCAGTCACTGCTCCATCACGTTCGCGCACGCCCACAGACGCACACGTTCACCCTCAGTCTAAGATTGTTGTTCCTTACGTTAGGATTCGTTTCTTTTGTCACTACTTATGAGTTGCAGTTGTTGTGGTTGTTGTTGTTGTTTTGGAAGAGGCCACATGGGGACTGCTAATAGGCCCTGATAGACTCTCAGTCCAAAACGTCGGTTAGATTGTGCTCGCGCACGCACGCACGCACGCACGCACGCACGCACGCACGCACGCACGCACGCACGCACGCACACACACACACACACACACACACACACACACACACACGCGCGCGCGCACACACGGAAGCACAGATGTGTCAGTCATGTGTCCCCTCGCCTCTGTACAGCGACGAAGTGTCTGACAGGAGGGATATGATGCTAAGGTCAGCCGGCTTAATTACTGAGGATTACAACCAGTCCAAATCTTGGCCTTCAGTAATGGCTGTGATTGGCAAAGCCTGAAATAATAATGAAGTGGAGAGCAGTCACTCACTACATTTTGCCCTTGTAGAGCATTTAGTCATAAAGTCCGCATATTCTTTCAAGAACATCTGAAATGTAGTTAAAAAGGAAATCTTAATGAACGAAAAATGAATTTATTTATGTTTACTGAATTTCACTTCAACTCAACTTTTATTTGAAGAGCACTTAAAACAACCACAGCTGCATACAGAGTGCTGTTCATCAAATGAAAATCAGACATATGAAGACAAAGACTGTTCAAACAATACGTTCATAAAAGAAAAACACGATAAAACACTGAAACAACGCACAGTCTCATGTTGAGTGAAAAGCCACACAATAAATTCTAAAGATGGGCGCTTGAGGGAGGACCGTCTGACAAATTGCATTACAGTAACTCAGCCAAGACGTAACAAAGGTATGGATTACTGTTTTCCAATCAATTTCAAAGGCATTTCTTAACTTGTGACTTTTGTCATTCATCATTTTCCTGAATGGCAAATCCTCAAGGAGTGAAGGCTGGTGCCTTTTCCTGGCTGACCTTGCGCTAATACAACAGCTTAATAACCACACGTTCATCGTGCCACAACTCTCCCAGTTAATAAAAAAACAAAACAAAAAAAATTAAAAAGATGTTTATTTTAATGCGGTGCAGTCAAGTGAAGTCTGTGATCAAAATATGCAACTGCCAAGTAATGTTGCTGTTGATAACCTTCAGTGAAGGTGTCTGTTCATTATAACGTTCCATCTCTGACATATGATGTAGTCACCAAATGAAAATATTTCAATAGTCTTATTCCCACTCAACATTCAGCGATATGATGCGAGGTCAATATTAAAGAAATACAAGTTTGGGTTTCTTCTCAGAGATGTTTCCTAAAGACTGCGGTTGTCCAGTATAGTGAAATAGGTGACCTTTGTACAATGTATTGTACCTTCGGTAGTCGGTGCGCTCTCGCCAAAAGCTCTTTCAATCCCGCGGGTGTGCAAAAATGTCAAAGACAAATTCAACATGATGAAGTACTGCAGTTGTAAGCTGTCAAACGTAATGCGATGCAATCTGATAATGATGCCTTTATTTTATTGTGTCGACGCACATGCCGCTGAGTGTGTCATGAAAGGTTGAGACAGTGAGAAGAACGTATTCCACTTGGGCCTTCTGAAGCTTTTGTTCCCCACAGACGCATTTTTTTTTCCCCACATTTCGACTTGACAAATCTAGCGAGCAAATGTGCGCACATTTCATTTTGGAAGCTCCTATAAAGCAGATGCGGCAGTTTGCGCTGCAGTTCCCATGACTGTGGGACAGGCTTTGTCTATGAGCTGTGAAATTATCTGGACGACGCTCAGTGGAAACAGTCGAGTGAGAGCGCATCCAAACGAAACAGCGGGAGCCTCCGTCAACACGGGAGCGTTGGGTTACTTGTCTCGCTCTGACCTCAAGGAGCAGCAGCCTTAGCCTGAAAACACTTTGGTGTTACTTTACACTTGTCCCGATGATGGATGACAAATAGCTTGTGTTTTACATGTGCCGATGTCCTCTTCTCTTTCGTAGGACTTTTTTTTTTCCAAGCAAAACTGTTACTAGGGGACAATCTGGTCATCTAGAGCAGCGGTCTCCAACCACCGGGCCGTGGGCCGGTACCGGTCCGTGGGTCATTTGGTACCGGGCCGCACAGAAAGAATGAAGGACTTACATTACTTCCGTTTTATTTATTTCGGAATCTGAAAGATATTTTATTTTGAAAAGTTCGCGGATTGTCTGGAACATCTGTCTACAGGGTGTTACTCTTGACGCAGATCAAGGGGCGCTTTTCGGTCACGTGATCAGTTACCGCTAAAATGAAACCCAGGAGCTAGCAAAATTAGTTTAAATAAAAATAAAAATAAATAAATAAATAAATAAAAACGTCTTTGGGAAGTGGGAAAAGCCTAGCCAGGAGACAGAAGAGGAGCCTACGACGTTCAAGAAAAAGTAGGCTACATTTAATAGACAGTATCGGGAGTCCTACTGAAAACACGGATTTATATCAATGGGAGATTACCACGCACCAAGCCCACTCTGCGTAATATGCGGCGACGGTGAGTCATATTTTTCATGCATTTTTTATTTGTGGTATATCTTATTTTGAAGGCATGTTTAAACGTGACCATAGCGACCAGAGAGTGTTGCGGCCACATTGGACATTCCTCGTGTTTCGAACAGTTTTCATGAGGGTCATATTATTTTGTTGTATCTATCCGTCAAACCTTAAAGGCCGGTCCCTGAAAATATTGTCTGACGTTAAACCGGTCCGTGGGGCAAAAAAGGTTGGTGACCGCTGATCTAGAGACAAAACCTGTTGACATTCAAATGAATGAACACCTCCAGCTATCTGCACCAACACGTGATTGTGACAGGGAGCAGTTTTTTTTTTTTTAAAGCATGCGTCCTCAGCATTGAGCACGGTGTCCCACCCCAGGTAGATGAAATAGAATGCATTATTGCAGCCGATGAGGGGCTCTCTTTGAAGTAAGTGTTTGCATAATGAAAGCGGGGTGAATCGCGATTGTTATGCCGCATACCCTCCCTTGTGCTCCCTTTCTCATCATGTCTATCTGTTCTTTCCTACTTTAGTTTTTTTGGGCCTTGTTTTCCTTCCTTTGTCTCGCGATTCAATTTCACTTTTTTTTTTTTTTTTCCTCGATCCAACCACCCACTCGCACATGCTGGCCATCACCCCAACACCTCAGCCTGTTCGCTTTGGTTTATGATGTCCATGTTTCCATTTGCCGGTGTTATGATTGATTGAAACCGGAGCCGTTAAAAGGCCACACACATATACGCTTTCAAAAGCTACTGTCTCACGACCCGCTGGCTACAGTTCGATGGGTTAGAACCAAAATTAGCATCTCCTTGGTGAGGTTCAGTGCTTGGATTTCCCGTTAATGAGGCTCGGTGTGGTTGAAAGAGATCACAAGGGATACTGTTTTTTTTTTTTTGTTTTGTTTTGTTTTTTTTCTTTCTTTCTTTTCAATAAGGGGAGTGGAAAGCCAAAAGTTAAAATACCTTTAAGATCAAACGCACGTCTCTTTCCTTGTCTGTTTTGGTCATGGATGACTCATCAGTGTGTTTACGGATTGAAACCCACCAGAGGATATATTAGATACATGATGGTCCATCCACACTTTATTTGTGTACACTGAAAAAAAATTGGAGTGATCTTTATTTGAGAAAAAAAAACAAGTCAAGTTTCTTCACTCTTCACCGCCGTTATTTTTGAAATCTGACTATTGAACAACTTCATTGGTACGTGTACGATGTCAAAAACAACTGGGGAATGTTCATTTGGATAAATGATGGTCACCTGCAACCATTTTTCGACTTTTGAAAGGGAGCCTGGAAGAAGAGGTATTTCTTGTCAAAAGAATATTTGGCTCAAAATTCTATCTTAGCTTTACTCCAGAAATAAACTCCACCTATATTTGACCAATCTAAAGTTTTTATTTTTTTACTATGAGTACTATAATGACTACTGCTTACACAGAAAAGTTGATTTGTCATGGATGAATGGTGTATGAGAGACTGTACCAGACGTATAACGTCTGAGGAATCAGTAAAAAAAAAAAAAAAAATCTGAATCCAAAAGCAAACAAATGTGATGTATTAATTAATGGAATAGTTTGACACTTTCGATTCAGGGTTTTTTTTTGTTTGTTTTTTTGTTTTTGCTTTCTTTTTTTTTTTTAATGAAATTACAAATGATCACCGACTTTGTAAACTCTAACGGGAATGGAGAATTCCTCATTGAGCTGTAGTAAATTTAACAGCCAGCATGACAATGTGATGTCG